ATTTCACATGTGACCCTGATACTCTTCCGTTCATTTGAGACGATTAGACACAGAATTATTTTAGCCAATGGTAAAACATGAAAGGTATTCGTAAAAGACAGGGCACACAGATGGCCAGCAGATAGAAACTACACACATTTTTCTGGATGTTTTGTTTTATACTGTGAAACTGGGTCACTATTGGAGTCCAGTTATCTTTTCTCGTCTTCATTTGCATTGCATTTGATATTTAGGGAATCAGAACCAAACAGGAAGTAATCAGGTTACATCAATTATATTTTGTGACATTTTAGCAACCAGCATTTTAACGGAATAAAAATGCACATTTTTATTTAAAGTAACTGTCCCAACCATGCAGGTAACATCCTAACACCTACACCAGCTGAATGATTAACACATAGTAATTTGTTTATGTTGGCCCCTTAATGAGAAAGTAAATTAGCATAATTCAGAAATGGATGAAAGCTGATTGGAGAGATGGTAGGGGCGGGCTGCTTTGATTGCAGGGTAATGTCTCAGCGAGGCTGAGTAATCAGCGCTGTTGTTAGAGAAACGCTGAGTGATTAAACTGAAGGTTACCCTCAGAAACTCAACATACGCCTGCTTTCAGGCTCCTTTCTTACAGTCCTCTCTTTCTCTGCTTCCTATTTCTATTTACAGTGATCTGAGATGTTTATCACTAATAGGATGGCCTTGTGTTTGTTTATGCAACAATACTGACAGACACAAGTTGGTTAGATGTATTAAAGATAATGTTACAATGGTATGTGTGGGGATACCTGTAATGATCTCTTGAATCCACATCCCCATACAGCAGTGGCGAGCCGTCAGGGCCCTCTAGGCCCTCTGTGAGGGCCTAAGATATTCCAAAAAATAATATTTAAAAACATTAAAAAAATATATATTTTTTTTAAATATATATTTTTTTAATATTATTTTTGTTATATTTTTCATTAGTTTTACCGAAAAAAAACTTGATTTAATAAAATAACATTTCCAAAGAAATAAATCCTTCGAATCTGCCTGTTCAGTCTCTGTTTGAATGTCAGTTACTATAGCGGGCCTCTCTGCGATTCACAGAGGGTTGCTATAGTAACTGAACGAGAGAGTAATGTCAAATGACAGTACAATTGACCAATCATATCTTCCCTCTAAATGGGTGGGTTTTATTATCGCGGACTTTATGACGAGTTCCGCCCGCTGTGAAACTGTTCTTGTTTCCATAGCAACAACAACTTCCTGTCAACAGCGTGAACTCGCCTTCAAAATAAAAGCATGCCAAATTACACTTAAGACATACAACTGCAATGAAAGTAACAAACACAATGCAATATCATTTTCAATGTCAAAGAACACAAATTGGGTTCACAGGTGTTGTTTTGTGTGGTAGAGGGTCGCTGTCATTGATGCGTTTTGCACCCTGGGCCGTTGTTTTGATATTCCGCTGAAGTATACGGCCTAGGTATAAAGCTCACGGCTCGCCACTGCCATACAGTGATGAAAGACTTAATGTAGGATTTGCATTCGAGAACATGTATTTTCCGCATAGAAAGAAACTTTCCGGGTAGTTTGACCTCCATTGTCCAACAGCCAACTTCCGCTCCACGATCAATAGCTGCTTTAACATAATACCAAAGTGATTCCAGGTAACTTCATAACATTGTATTGGCTATAGGACTTTCTGGAAAACTAATTTCACGTGTTTCTAAATCTGTGTCATTCAACTTGCATGTCTCTGATTGCAAACATCTCCTCCTCAGTGTAAACAAATTGTATCAACATGAACACACCCTGGACTCAGCAGTGCCTCTGTGTCTATTTGTACTTTTCAGAACATAAATATGAATTCCAATGTTGAATGTAGCTGGGTCCAGGGCAGGGCTGATGCTCTGGCAGCTGCTCCAAAAGTCTCCAGCTTCATTCCTTTTTTATAATTTAAACAGAACCCTCTTTTCCAATGCTACCCCAGGTGTCACTGAGGCTCTGGCTGACTTTTTGATATACACACTGTCAGTAAAAAAAGTTATACAAGCTTCCAGGCTGACTGTTTATTTATGTAAAGGAACCCTCTGGCAAAGCAAGAGTAATGGCGGATTCAGTGTCCGAAAACCCCTGACAAGATAATAGATACGAAAACGATACAGTCAAAATCACACAATAGAACCAGAAATACATCATAACAAATTCTTAGTTTGAAAGTGACAGAAGCTAATGGAAGTTCACCCCTTTGCTGCTTTAGCTGACTCAGTGTCTGTGCGTTATATAATAAAGTGAAAAGTACTATAAACTGTGCTTCAAATGGATCTCTTTGGTTCTGAAGTGCTCCCTGAAAACTCCCCCCTGGGGTCCAGCTGACTCAGTGTTTTGTCAACCAATGCAATACATCCTGTAATGATACACAAACTAAATAAAATGTACATTATATGGGATGTCAAATACTTACGAAAATGGCCCTCTTGACTTTGTTTCTTCAACTTTGTTTCTCAAACATAAACCTCTGTGTATAAAGTCAGATATTTAGGGCCTGTGTCCACATACTGTCATGATTTTGTGTTTCATTTTAAAATGCCTTTTCTCCCTGTATCTTGTCCTGTCCAGTGTTCTTTGTCAGTTCATCGTTTATGTTCCTGTCTGCTTTCCCAGGTTTTCTGGTCCCCTTTTTTCTTCCCCTAATAAATCCCAATAAGAACAGAGTGCATGCCGTCCGAAGTGGCTGCCTCCAGAAAAAGTGCAGCGACCAGCAACTTTTTCAAGAGCACAACACCTTTTCTGTAATACCACTCGAGTTGAAATATTTCCACTTTTCAGGAAGGCGACAGTTTTGTCACTGTATAACTTGCATGAAAAGCCTGTTTTCGGCTGTGTCTGTCAGACGAAGACCGCAAAGCTCGTTTGTTGGAGCACTTTGGCCGGTGATCTAGTCAGCATGCTACACATATATAGTATCATAAACAGATGATCAATTCCATGCTATTTTGTCTTATATACTCACAGGGATGCAAACTTGTCACCTTTCAGCGAAATTCGCCGTTTTGAATCCAAAATAGGTCGTTTGTGTGATTCATATAATAGGGATGTAACGATATATCGAATATCGCGATAAATAAATGTCTCGATATCGTCGTGAGACTGACAAAATCATCAAAACCTTTATTCAACCAGGTGGTCCCATTGAGATCATTGATCTCTTTTTCAAGGGAGACCTGACCAACATGGCAGCAAGTAGGTTACAACATGAACATAAAACAACAGATAACACAACAAAAATCGTATTTACAGGGCTACATTTACATACCTAGAGACATTGACAAGTACCAACAGTATATGTGACCCGCTCTATCGAAATCAGTCGGATGTCGCAACGGCTCATTTCAAAATAAACGTGGATTTGCGTAAAAAACTATTTTTTCGGGGTTCGGGTGTTTTGTTTGATTTTAAATAAACAAAGTCTTGGCTTTCAGAATATGAAACTTTTATTTCCAAAATCACACGATAAATACATTTGTGAAGCTTGTGAAGGGAAGATGACAGGCACCTCTCGCTCGCAATCTGCTCTTCCGTAGCGCGGCTTCCCCTCCCTCCGGCTGAAATTATGAATGTAAGGCATATAGTTATCTAGATAACACGGCGGGGTCCGTTACAGTTTGTTTTCATCTGATTTCAATTAAACAAAGTCTTGGCTTTCAGAATATTAAACTTGTTTCGGCAAATTTAGATGATAAATACAACTATGAAGCTTGTAACGGCATATTTACAAGCGGAGAACGGAGTCATTTAACGTCACAGCAAGCATAACAACAGCCGGTGTTTCTCGTGAGTGTTTTCCCCGGGAAACAAACACAATACACACAAACGCAAAAATACACAAACACACACACACACTCGCGAGCTTCCCCCAGACCAGTAATCCAAACGGAAATATTTCCCCTCCGGACTATTTTGATCATTTGCTCCGCTAATAATCAATCAGATCGATGGATTCCAGAGAAGAGGAAACTTTGAAGGCCTTTTTCTCAAAATGATGACTCGGTGACAGTCATTATATAATGTGACATATTTTGCTTAATATTTGGAGTACAAAAACAATCTTGATATCATTAGAAAGCTAGGAATCTCCTCTTTCCAACAGTGTATACAACTCAAAATGTGTCTTCGGGTCAATGCGACTGATTTCGATAGAGCAGGTCACATATGTATATCTCGCCCTGTCAATAAGCCTCACCTTCTTGGCAAAAACTGTATTGTTTTTGAAGTGGTGGAGAGACAATGCACAGTTTTACCCACTGCTGTCACCCATGGCCAAAGCATATCTCTCTGTCCCAGCGACATCAGTACCAAGCAAGAGAGTTTTTTCCACAGCAGGGGATATTGTAAACGCCCAAACATCCCAGCTTCTACCTGGAAATGTGGGCATGCTCATATTCCTAAAAAATAACCTGTCTGATGATGCTGAGTGAGTGAGTTAGTGAGTTTGAGTTGAGTTACTTGAAAAACTAAAGTGAAACTTGATTTATTTTATTGCAGGGTCTGATTATTATATTTTTGACACTTTAAAATACTACTATCCTACTAAAATGCTGTACAAATCAGATGTATTATTTAATAAAGAACATTTTTTTCAAGAATAAAAAAAATAAAAAAGTCCAAATAAATGTGTAAAAAAATATTTTTCCACTTGATGTTTTTCACTGTTCGAGTGAAAACATCATGGCGGAGCGCGCACTCGCGAGGGAGTGCGTCATGCTGCGTTCAAAGACCTCAGTAGAGAGTCGACCCTTTCCGTGTCGACCCCCCAGGGGCGAATTTTCCCTTCACGGGAACATTTGCGGCGGGACGGGTCACCAGGGAATATCACAGCTTTATTGCTGGGGCCCCACAATTGATTGCACATCCCCTGACGCAATGTTACGGGGAGTGGAAACGCAGCTGCATGTTAACGGAGTCCGCCCCGCCACTTTATTGACCACAGCGGAGGGAAGTGTCCCGGCGGAGAATGCGCTATGCGGGTACAGGGACATTATGGCCGGTGTAGCAGGGTTGGGAAACAATTAACGCCAAGTGTAAGAATTCCGCTGGATGTTTTTCACTGTTTGGGTGAGAACATCATGACGGAGCACGCGCTCCCACAGGAGTGTGCCGCGGCGCGTTCAAGGACCTCAGTGGAGAGTCGGCCCTTTTTTTTTTCTGGATTCACAATCTGAATCTCCACATTGCAAGCAGAGAATTCCAGAGGTTAAATATAAAACAGTTACTGGGACTGGTGCAGCCAGGCGATTGGGTTACAATCAAGACTGCCTCAAGGACTTAAAAACGTGGATGACCTTAAACTTTTTGATGTTAAACACGGCCAAAACTGAAGTTATTGTACTTGGCCCAAAGAATCTACGAAACAAATTATCTAAAGATATACTAACTATGGATGGCATTAATTTGGCCTCCAGTGAGACTGTAAGGAATCTTGGTGTTATATTTGATCAGGATTTATCCTTTAACGCCCACATAAAATCAATTTCCAGGACCGCCTACTTCCATCTACGTAACATTGCAAAAATCAGGCATATCTTGCCTCAAAACGATGCAGAGAAACTAGTCCATGCATTTGTTACTTCAAGGCTGGATTATTGTAACTCTTTATTATCAGGGTGTACCAAGAAGTCAATTAAGTCGCTTCAGCTGATTCAAAATGCTGCAGCACGTGTACTAACCAGAGTTAGGAAAAGGGACCACATTACTCCTGTTCTGGCTGCCTTACACTGGCTCCCTATAGAACACAGGATAGAATTTAAAATTCTTCTTCTCGCCTACAAAGCCCTTAATGGGCAGGCGCCATCTTACCTTAAAGAACTCATTATACCCTACTGTCCTACAAGGGCATTGCGTTCCAATAATGCAGGGTTGTTGGTTGTTCCTAGAGTCTCTAAAAGTACAATGGGAGCCAGAGCCTTTTCTTATCAAGCTCCACATTTGTGGAATCAGCTTCCAGTTTGTGTTCGGGTGGCAGACACCCTATCCGTTTTTAAGAGTGCGCTTAAGACCTTCCTTTTTGATAAAGCTTATAGTTAGGGCTGATTAGACTCAGCCCCTAGTTTTGCTGCTATAGGCTTAGTTTGTTGGGGGACACCTTACTTCTTCCTTCTCTCTGTCTGCACCTGTGTACTCTCATGTTCCGAATAACCCAGCTTCCCCAAATTTGTCTATATATGCCGGGATCCGGAGTCATGGCTGATCGTGTTGCTGTGGTCCTCAGTCCTGGATCGCGAGCCCTGGATCTTGAGTCGTGGCTGTGCCTGCTGCTGTGTTCCTGGATCATAAGTCCTGGATGGACATCCTCGCGGATTCATCTTCTTATTATAGACACATGCATTTCCAAACATTTGGACTACCTATGTTGTAAATGTATTATCTTTTCAATTTACACATGGCATCTATTGCACGTCTGTCTGGGAGAGGGATCCCTCCTCTGTTGCTCTCCCCGAGGTTTCTCCCATTTTTTCCCTTTAAACTGTGGGTTTTTCTCCGGAAGTTTTTCCTTGTACGATGTGAGAGTCTAAGGACAGAGGGTGTCGTATTGTCATACTGATATTCTGTACAAACTGTGAAGTCCACTGAGACAAATGTAACATTTGTGATATTGGGCTATATAAATAAACATTGATTGATTGACAACCATCGACCTGAGGGATGCTTACTTTCATGTTGAGATTGCTCCGAAACACAGAAAGTATTTGCGTTTTTGTCTGGGGAAAGCTATAGGGGGGCGCTGGTCTCTAACGGTACGTCCACACAGCGGCGTGCGTTGAAGCTTGCCGGTGGGCGTGTCTGAAACTCGACCAACAACCAATCACATGAATCTCCCGCCCCTAACACACAAGCAGCGGTTTAATTGGCTAGAGCTTGTACTGGCATATGATTTGATTGGCTGACGCTTCCGCCGAAGCTTCAAAAGTTGAACATTGCTCAACTTTTGCAGCGAGCAACGCCAGCAAAGCTCCGCTTCGCTCCCACAATGCAGTTCGGCGAATCGTGACGTCACCCCATTCAACGTGAATGGGCAGAAGCGTTGAAGATTCATTGCACGCCGCTGTGTGGACGGGCCGTAACAGACACGGCACAGCGACCTCTTAGAGCTGCGGGCAGTAGTATTAGTCCTCCAACATTTCAAACCCTTAATCCAGGGAAAACATGTAATGGTCAGGAGCGACAACGGCACCACAGTGGCAGCGGGGAAATTGTGGTTATGGGCTGCAGAGGTGGTGTTATCTCTGAGAGCCCTCCACATTCCGGGTCTGGAGAACAGGGGGGCCGAACTCATGCTGAGGGGCGGACCCCTGCCAGGTGAGTGGGCGCTTCACCCGGAGGTCGTGAAGCGGATCTGTTTGCCAGCTGGCGCAACACCCACTGCGCACTGTGGTGCTCCATGGCTCTGAGCGACGACCCGCCTTTGGGGGTACACGCGTTGCATACGAGCCATGGCCAAAGATGCTGCTTTACGCCTTTCCACCGTTACGTCTCATTCTCCCTCTCCTGGGGAGAATGAGGCGGGAACGTCTGTCAATCATCCTAGTAGCGTCGGACCGTTGTGTGTGTGTGAGAGCAGGCTCGGATTGGCCACCGGGAGATTCGGGACTTTTCTCGTGGGCTGCTGCCGTTGGTGGGCTGCTGCCTTCAGTTGAAGTCAGCAGGTGGGCCGTGCTCTGGCATAGGTGGGCCGTGAACTTTCACAGCGCCGGTACGCCGACGCCGCATCCGCCACCGCAAACACTCGCCGTTGTGAGGCTCCGGCGGTAACAGTCTACTACCGCCCGTGAGGACCCAGGTTAGATTCCGGCCTGAGGTCCAAAAAATGTATTAAAAAATAAAATAATAATCTCCCGTTCATCGCGTCCATTCACGACCCACCTATCACATCTCGGCGGGCCCCACACTTTGAGAAATGCTGTACTAGAGTGTAGGAAGAATCCTGCAATCAAAATGTTCCTCAAGTAAAAGTACAAAAGTATTATCATCAAAATATAGTTATAGTACCTACAGTAAAAATAGTCATTGTGCAGATGTTATCAAAGCTGGTAAAGGTGCAGCTAATAGTGATGAGAATTACGGCTCTTTGAAGGGAGCCGGATCTTATGGCTCCGTTTCCTTTCCGAGAGCCGTTCAAAAGAGACGTTTTTTTTTAAGGGGCGGGGTTAATAGGTTTATCTGCGAAATAATCACCATGATAATGATTGACTGTATTGCCAGAAATCAGTCAGCCAAACTACTACTCAAGCAGCATGCGTTATGCCATCATCTATGGCAAATTTGCATTCAGGAAAGCAAGTTCCCGTAAAGGCGAGTGGATTTATGGCAGGCAGTGAACCAGCGATAAAAAGAACGGCTCTCACCAAGTACGACTCGGTTCCCTTCGTTATTTTAACTTGGTAAGCATGTAGCCTACTTTTCATCAAATGCAGGCTAATGACACATTCAATTTTAATTCTATAGAGCCTATTCATAACAGAAGTTATCTCGGAGCACTTTTCATATAGAATGGCAAGTTGGAAGTCCTTTTTAACACTTAAAAAAAGAAACGGGGCTGCAACGGAGCTGATACAGATTTGAATTTTTCTGACGTCAGAAAAGGGGTGCTCCGCCTATATGGGCAACTCTCCACCTATCAGGGGAATGAGAGGTTGGGTCACGGCCACGGCCATTGCCGCTCGAAAGCGCTGGAGACGCTGTAGTACATATGCCAGGCCTGTAAGTGAAGCTGTAGTCTGCCACAAAAGCAGCGAAGAAGACTTCCCGCGCATGGTTGCCATGGTTGCCCTTCTGTTTATTCTCAGCTGTGGACGCTCTGGCTCTTTTTCTCCCTCCCTGAGGCAAGCGTTTGCTCCTGCTGCTGTAATTCTCTCCGGTTTGCCACCAGCAGATGACAAACACCCACCTCTCCGCCTCTTCCAAGGGACGAGGGGACCGTGCAGCAGAGTTTCTCCTATCCATTATTCATTAACCCTGAAAGGGTCTGTCGGCCATCATCGGTGTGACAAAGCTCTACCATCCCCCCTCTGTTAACAAGAGATACTAGCCTATGTTGCGGACTCTCTTTGTTTCAAATAATTGCCCATCGGAATGTGTGGAGAAAGTCTCCCAAGGGGGATGGAAGACTTTTGACTTTTGTCACTTTCCGATGGACAATCGGAATTACATGCAGGGCAGCATTGCCGGTCTGAAAGGGTCTCTGGAAATATCAAACATTTAATTAAAGTTTTAAAAACAGTGACAGGTTAAAATCAGAGGTGGAAGAAGTATTCAGATTATTTACCTAGGTAAAAAGACGTGTTAGAAGCAAAATGTCCTGCATTCAAAATGGTCAATAGCCCAAGTGAAAAGTATTATCATCTGAAAGTAAAATGAATCATTATGTTAGTATTAAATACATATAATTTGTACAATTTATATTTAGAAATCATCCGTTGTAATTATTGATGCATAAATGTGTTCATCCATTCAATGTGGCATCTGCTATAATGGGGTTAATTTATGATATTACTTAATAATACAACACATTACTGTATAATACGTGATAATGTATGAGTTGATTTACTTCGATCTACTGTACTGTGTAAAAACACCACAACAATATTACAAAACATATACTGCATATTAAAGCAAACTATTGTAAATGTAAAAGTATGAGCATAACAAATAAAGAAGTGTAAACATTTACATTATTATTATGATTATTTAATATATAAAGACTATATTGAATTACAATTAAGATAATAAGATTAGATATACTTTATTTGATCTAAAATATTGATGTTTTTTCATTATAGTAGCCTGTGAAAACCATAACAAATAAGTGATTAAATGCTACAGTATTCAGCAAACATAACTGCAGAGCTGCAAACATTGCAAACAAACTAAGGTCTACAACACCCAGTTGTATTTGTGAATGAAGCGCCATCTCATGGTTAAATCCTGAAATTGAACAAATGGGGAAATTTGGCAACGCCCTCTTAGGAAATAGTGGCAGGGCTTTAATCTCCCAATCCGCTGGGTTTTCGGTTGGAATCCACTGGGTGGAGTCCTACATCTGTATAGCCTATGCTCACCAACACGTTTGATTATTTGTAGACAAAGTCCACCCTCCTTTCTTTCCTTAAGAAGAGTTCAATTACTCCATTGAATCGTATCTGAGTTTTCAGTTCTAATAGTAAGTCATTTTCTATCACCATGGAGGCTAATTCTGAAAGTCAAGTCTGTCCAGTCGTATTTCTGGCAAAAAACATTGCGGAGCTCCGTTTCCCTGCACACTTGTTCGTTAAGTTGTCGATCCACTCAACAATTAGCCAAAGAAGTACAACGATCCTTAGGGGACACAGAGTGACCCAAAAGAGAGACATACAGATGGAGCCTCTTATTTTGGACTCCAGCATACAGCTTCCTGCCGACTGCCAGCCAGTTGCCAGCCAGTTGCCTGCCAAAGACCAGTATTCAGGAATGTTAGGCCCTCCCACTATTCTCCAATTTCAGGGTTTAACCAGGAGATGGCGCTATATATTAAATAACTAAGACTTAGTTTTTCACAATAGAAAATGCAGATATTATATAAAAAACTAAAGTTAAAATCTTGTTTTTAATGCCCCAAGAGCAATAACATCTTGTCACAAGCTTTTTGGAAGAAAAAGACTGACTCAAGAGACCTGTAGTTGACTAATTACAGGCCTCAATAAAGTTCTGCCATTGGTTGTGAAAAACAACGGTGGACATAGTGGAAAGTGAAATTGACATTGTCGAATTTAATAAAAATACAAAATAATGTATCTGTGTACGTGTTTTACTATGTGATCTGCACTTATCAAACATCTAATTAAGGCGAGACACCCCAGGTGAATAGGGTATTTTTAACTTAAAGATATCAGCTAAATATTTCTCCAGTTAATTACTTACAATAAGGCAATTGTTTTTTGTATTACAAGTTTTCTGGAATAGCATGTTTAAATATCCAAATGAACCATTATCTCATGAAATATGCGCATATTTTAACACATTTCAGGAACCGAAATCTGAACTTTGGATAA